CAGGAAAGGTGTCTTTTCCTGATATTCTTTGAGTTTTCCCTCGCCTGACCATATATTTTGCTGTGCAATCTTAAGAGATAAAGCTAAAGACAATGTAGCTGTAAAAGTGGGTGGAATGGAATGGGAAATATAGAGGGAGATGGTTTAAAAAACAATAAATTAATTGAATGTATGGGCTTAACTAGATGTGCGTGGTATTTTCTCTAAAGTTAACTGAAAGACTGTGTCAGTGTTGCTGCCGTAGGTCTGCCCTCAGTACAGAGACTGGAACCCCGACCTGAGGTGAGAGGGAGCATGGTCTTCCCAGTCCTCTGACTGGCACAAGTCATGCCGTGAGTCTGCGGCTATCTGCTATCTCCCCTCTCTCCCGACTCATTTACAGACTCCCTAGATCCAGTCCAGGCAAGATGGAATGCACAAGTTAAAGAATTCTTTGTAAATAAATCTCCCCAAGGAAATAATGTACTGTTTTCATGCTTGTCTTGAAGATTGATTTTGTTCGATCAATGTCTTTTAAAATCTAATGTAGATTTTTTTGTGTGTGTGTGTGTTCTTTTTAGATTGGGGCATATGATCAACAAATATGGGAAAAATCAGTAGAGCAAAGGGAAATAAAGGTAATAATATTACAGCATTTCAACATTTTCTTTTTGCCAGTTATCAGCAGTGCTGTCTGTGGTTGTGTACGCTGATGTAGTTTATAATGTATGTGGTGGTATTTAATACTGGTGAAGTAAAACTAGACTTCTGGAGTGTAACCGAATGTAACCGGCATACTATGCTCTATTTATTTTACACAGTTGTTAACTCTGCAGCATTTAGTGTGCTGCATCTTTCTGCATCTCAGTACTTTTTATTTTTTTCTTTTCAGTTATCTTAAGCCCGGGCTTAGTTGTTTTAGTACCTCTGTCTTTCACTTTTCTTTGTGATGAATTCTAATGTCAGTTATCTGAGCTCTCTCTACTTTCACTTAGTTACCTTATACCTGCAGTTTACTTTTCCTCCTTTATGATGCTGTCATTGTTTTGTACAGTTTATTAGACTGGTAAGTACTTCAGGCTTTGTTTCTCTGAACAAGCAGTTTAACAGCATTCTTTGCATTTTGGTTTAACTAACAGTGCCGTCAGTGTCTGCCACACTGCTAAACTGTTTTGGAGAAAAAGAAATCAATCCTATATGTATTGATTGTATATTATGTCATACTCCATGATGTCAATTTAATTAACATTTTCTTGCAATTAACCTTTTTTCTTCAAATGTTGCACATGAGAAATACGCTATTTCTGCATGAGTTTCAAGGCATTGCTAATTCTTAACGTTAGCAAAATGTACATTGCTTTGGTTTCTCCGTGTTTTTTTTTTTTTCTTCTCCCCAGTACTTACTTATACAGCTTAAGCAGAAGGTGCCGGGGGACCTGTTTGCATTGCGTGAAAGCTGTTACTATGAACCACAGAGTTCCCCGATTTCTGTACAAAATGTACAAATTAGCTCTTAACTCGGAGCTGATGATATCTGTAGAAGCGCTTCTCACCCTGACGCCTGGCTCTTTGCGCTGCTGTAAATCCCCGGCTCGCTGAGCGCGCCCCCTGCCCCTCCAGCACCTCGCCCCACGAGGGGACCCCCGCCCCTGCTCGGGGGGGTTACCGGGCGGCCGGGGGGGTTAGTTA